ATTGTAAATGAACAATTAGATTTTCAACTATCCTCCCTACTCACATCCATTTTGTAGATATAAATTCGTTGTACGTCTCTTATAGTAGTTTAGGCTTGAAAATGAGCTAACGCTCGAAACATGTTGACTATACATATTGTTAAATAAATCGTGAAACATTAAGCCAAGAGTTTAATTTATTTTAATATATATATATATATATATATATATATATATATATATATATATATATATATATATACAAATATACTGTTATATAAAACGAACTATCGGTACAGCCTATCGTAATTGAAAGCAACCGTTGACACGTGTTTCGCGCGATGGTATTCGTTTTCAACTTTCCATATGCGTTATTGATTTAAATTCATAAGTTTTTTCATTGAGATGTTAACGATTCGTAATACATAAAGATCGCACACTACTTTATGTGACCAGAAAAGTTATCCGCTCATCTTTCAACTTCAACGTTTAGAAATTAAGATTAGCTAGCCTCCTTCAAGATACAAAAAACTATCTTACATGAAGATATACCATTTTTATTGATGAAACTGTTTAGTATTTTGAAATTTGTTTCGAACATTAAACACATGCAATAAAAACACGCCTCCTCATTTGTTTTGTGAAACATTGTTTGAATATTAATTATATATTTATCGTTATAAAAATGTTTTCATCACGAATGTTATATAGTTAAATGAAATATATGTACAAGAATGTTTATAATTTAATTTTCACTCGGATAATATTGTCTTTATCACTTATGGGATCCTGAAAGAGTTGGACATCAGTACCAAAACTGAATTGATTAATTTTTGGCCACTTTTTCTTTGAATTTATCGATTTTACATGTAGTTTAGTTGAACCATTCTTTGACCAAATACCTCAATGTTTACAAAGTTATTAATTATGCTAGAATAATGATTATTTTTGTCTAATTTTTTTGGTTGATTTTCCAGTGCCACATATTTTAATTGCGGCGCCAAAAATTGAAATACATTTAGATGACTTCCGCTCTACACATTTGGATCAATTTATCGACAAAATTTGCCCGTTAGAAATACTTCATTCATAATTGAGAGGAAATACAAACGACATCATTAAAAATAACCAATAACCTGATTTTTTTTCATGAAGACAAAAATAAGGAATGCAAGATTAGTTTTAGATAACTCGATCGATTTTAATGAATGCGAAAATTGGAGTTCTCAAGATTCCATAAGTTTGTTTCTTCCTTCGAACTCAAATCGAACTTAGGTCTTGTTTAATTAAAACAATAAAAATGACGTAAAATTGCAAAATTGACAATGAAAGTACCCATTTGAAGATATTAATCTGAAACCGAAAAATTCTGTATCAATTGTAACTATATATATAAAAAAATAAGAATTGGCAGTTATAGGGGCTCCTGATAGAAGTGAAGGCTTAGATCTTTCAGAATTAAAATTTGAGATTTTATGATTTTCTAATGCTTTTACATATCTATTGACTGCTCTCCACATCTATACCCATTTGAAGATATTAATCTGAAACCGAAAAATTCTGTATCAATTGTAACTATATATAAAAAAAAATAAGAATTGGCAGTTATAGGGACTCCTGATAGAAGTGAAGGCTTAGATCTTTCAGAATTAAAATTTGAGATTTTATGATTTTCTAATGCTTTTACATATCTATTGACTGCTCTCCACATCTATTGACACTTCGAGTAACAATTATATGCATGTTTATATGGTTTTTCATTACTTAAAATGTACCTAATGTGCTGTACAAGATCACGACAGTATATAAATACAATTCAATTGAAATAACAATTAATATACAGTAATATCATTTATGGGTAGGTAGTATTTGTGATCCTATAAATTGAAATAACTTTCAAATTTATTGAAATAACTTTCAAATTAATATACAGTAATATCATTTATGGGTAGGTAGTATTAAATATTACTATTAAAATTAATTTGAATAGTAATATAAAAGTTATAATATGACTACATTTTATGTAGTTAACAGATGTGTATGAAAATATTACGACATCCCAATGCGCTATTCTGAGTGAAATTTCAACATCACTGTAAGCTGATCAAATTATATGAATTCCACTAGTGCTAATTTTGATATTTTTCTTGAAAAGGTGTCACAAACATTATCACGCTGTCTGCATGAAAGGGCTGATGTATTACTGGCAGGTGATTTCAATATAGACCTGCTCTGTGATATCTGTGCATCTAAAACCAAGAGTTTCACGTCATTGTTAGAAAGTTCCAGACTAAAATTGATGATTCATGAGCAAAATAGAATTTATAAAGAATTGACAACGCGTTTGGACAATAATACTAACGAATATTGTGGGTTTTGCTTCAGTTGTTGAGGAAGCATATATCTGACCATTCAGCTAAGAGATTTGTTTTCTACGCTGATGAGCTTGAAGTTAACAAGTTGTAGTGAAAGAAAGTCAGGATCGACAATCATGATCGAATAAAGACATTTATAGATGCTCTATCAGATCACGATTGGTCTAGCGTGTGTGTAGATTTTCATAGTGATGTCAATACACTTTGAAAATCCTTTTGCATCAAATTCAAGGATTACTTTGAATCTAATTTCCCCACGAAGATGGTAAGTGTCTGTAAATTCGGAAAGAATTCTTACAAATCGAATAGGGTTAAGAAAATGAAGAAGTGATCCTATAAATTGAAATAACTTTCAACATCTTGTTTATCTTGTCGGTGACGGGAACCGATAGGATAACATATACGCTATCAAAAAGTGCACAACGCAGCTAAAGAAAATTTCACTCCAAAAATTGATTGAATATTCGCTGATCTCTTGGTTGATCTCTTAGTATTACTGTTGAATGAAAAACTAAGGCTAAGCTGAATGGCTAAGTTTTACAGGACTATATTGTTTCGTAACAATTATTTAGAGGTGTTACCCTCTTCTCAGAAATTGAACTGAACATTCTCATTTCAACGAATTAACAAAACTAACATTTTTTAATTACGAAGATATAAGATTTGAAAATACTCTTTTGATTAGGCTCATCTTTAATTTGAAAATTAGGAAAGAACCCGAATGAATTCTTTCTTAACAATATAATTATTCGAAAGTAATGTGATTTTTATTCTATATGCAAAAAACAAAACTTTCAATAAAATGGATGAAATGGAAAAATGACACAATCTGAAATTCAGGGACACTTCGAAATTTCGAAGTCAAAATCGAAAATTTTGACTTCGATTGTTATGTAATTAAACTAGAGGAAACTTAGTACCTACTTAGCTTCATATTTCTTCGAATGCTTTTGAAAATATAAATTAAATATAGATACTATTGAATTGAGATTGAATTGATCACTGGTAACATACTCGTATTTCAAGATGTTTTACGTATCAAGTTTCTGCTATAAATTTCAGCGAAACTTGAGCAGATAATCAATTTTTATAATTATCGAATATTTCATTCATTATATTCAATATTTCATTTCATATTCTTGAAAATTCTTGTTGTTTTACCAAGCTATTTCATTATTCAGTTATATTACTTTTTATACAACTATATTTTTTCACCTCCATTTCATCATTTTTGGTATTAATTTACGACCGTTAGGAAGCAACTTTACTTCATTAGGAAGATTCCTAATGAAGAACTCTAGTATAAGATAAAATTATATGGTGGTAACCGTTTTAAAGACGTTAAAGAGGAATGCTCACAATGAAACATGTGTTCCTCTGATACTACTGTAATACCTTTCCTGTATTTCCCAAACAAATATATTATAACATTGCATTGAATTATTTTCACGAAAATAAATTGGAGACTGATGGGTTCGCATATGTGCAGAGGTGTGAAAAGGCCGTGCCATTCTTCGAAGGCCCCCCAGACTGAGCGGCACCGTTGCCACATACAGAGATATCAACAGGAGTCCAGAAAGAAACGGCCAATTATGTCCGCCTATCGGGGACCTCATTGTGTCTGGCTTCAAGCCGATTTTTAACTTTTAATCAACCGTTTTGTATTCGATTCAGTTACAATCGTACGCTGTTTGTGCCCCTTTTAATGTGTTCATTGAGGAACATGAAATTGCATCTTTTTAATATTTGCAACGTTGTTAACTTTGGAACCATTGAAATGTTGAAATCAAATTATATACATTTTCTGTAATTGCATGATGACAGTTGTATAGTATAATTGAAAACACTACACTTCTCGACTTATATAAAAACATTACCAAATAGTTTTTTGTAGAACTTAAATTATTTGAATTTGACTTATATAAAGCAGTTGATAATAGGTTGGTTGCCCGAAACACATGTTGATAGTTTCCAGTTGTATTATATTTTAAAATTCACAATTTCTAATTTTTCAAAGAAGTCTGATTCATTTATGAATCAATAACGAAGTGCAAATTTTTCATTAAATTATTACTGCATGTTTTATTCTGTGACTCGTTATCATTTCACAATCCGGTGAAATATCACAAATTGAACTTTTAAGAATATATTCTATTTTATAGTTTTAGTAGGCACTATAAAATGAAGTACTTTCATATTCTTGAAGACAGTTATTGTTTCTTCACTCATCATAAATCATGAAGTATATTGATGTTAACCATGACACTGCAAAAAATATGAATAATTAGACAAGTTCTTACTTTATGTTTAATTTTAAATATTTTACACTCACGAATATCAGAGAATATCACGAATACGAGTAATCATCTATATATATATATATATATATATATATATATATATATATATATATATATATATATATATATATATATATATATATACACACGCATGGTTAGCGCGAATAATATTCACTTTACTTTAATCTCATGTTCATTAACGCAGAAATTCAAAAATACATCTGGGAGAATGAGAAGGTGTTTACTCACGTTCGTGCAGTTTGAAAGACGACAACCCGTGCGTCGATGACTGGCTTGCGAACAAAAGAGTAATTAGATATAGTCGGAATTGCACCGCGAATTGTAGACCTCGGTAGCTTAGTTGGTGGAGCAACAGGGCGTAAACTTGAGAGACTTGGGTTCATATCCCAGTCGAGGTTGAAAACTTTTGTGGTGTAATTTCGATTCCAAATTCAGAAATAAATATTTCTTCATATACTATATATATACATATAGTTTACAGATTCACGAATCCTTAGGTATTTAGTCAATACTAAGACTCTTAATCGAAGTATTTCAAATAAAACTGTCGGGGAGCTGACAACACAAATGTTGTCAACGAAAACACAACCTATCATATTCGAGAGTGTATTTAACTATATGACGAACTATGTAGGATTCGTGAATCTGGTAACTAGTTATCAAATTGCCCGCTATGGTGTGAATTGAAGCGAAAAGGCAGGGCATTATTCTCACACATCTACAGACAAAGTCCTGAAATGAGAAAGCATCTATGTACTATCACTCATCTTGTCACCAGAAAGCGATCTGCAATGCTCGAGATAATTTATGTCGATTCTTCGGTAGATGGAGCTCATGTGATTAGTTCACGAATGAATGTTCTCCTCATTCTGAAATGGGACGTGAGTGTTTTTCGAACACTATCGAAACTTGATTGTTTGGATTCATGCCACTGAGGATTCAAAGTAACAATGAAATGATTTTATGGTATTTCACTTAATTGAACGCACTTAATATTCACTCTCGAAAGTGATAGGTTGTTTTTTCGTTCACTACACTTGTGTGGACAAGTTCCTGTGAGTTCTATTTGAAATGTTTCGATATTTCGATTAAGACGTTTCTCAGTATCGACTGTATATATATATATATATATATATATATATATATATATATATATATATATAAGAAAATGATCACTATAACATTCATTTGAAAATTTGAAATTAATCAAGAGAATGTTATAGTAGAGCTAAATATGTGAACGTATACGATGTTATGTCTCCATTTTCCTTCAAGGGATAAATGTTAGAGAAATATTGAAATCGATGCCACACCTGATGGAAGTGCGAGACATATATGTTTCGTTCTGCAAGGAACTCGTCAGTCGCACCACGTCCATCGAAGTGAGAAATTAAATATTTCATTCAGTGCCATCAGCACAAAAAATTTCATTTCATATATATATATATATATATATATATATATATATATATATATATATATATATATATATATATATATATATATATATATATATATATATATATATATATATATATATATATATATATATATATATATATATATATATCTTTATATGAAGGTGATTTTTATGATTAAAATGAGCGGCAAAAAGTAAAGGAAGACAAATCGACAGGCCTAGTTCGAAAAAAAATTTCTAAAAAAGCTACTGAAATATCTTTATTTCTATCGTTTTTATACCGAAACGAAAAAAATACTACGAATACGAAATTAAATTCTCAAGAAATATTAAGTCATAAGATACCCCTATAATTATTTCAAACATAAGAAGGGTTTCGAATTTAGTGAATAATGAATCCGAAAGAATACTTTCTATATTTTATCCATTCCAAAAATCAATATTTTGTATTCAATTCCGTTTGAAATTAATTTTTTTTTATCTTGGTATAATTGTTCAGAGAGCGGAGGTCAGAGACTTATAGCATCAATGTTTAGACCTATAAATTGATGCTGATTGCGATGAATTTTTTTGTTAATTTTCTGTCTTATTCTAATGGAAAATCACTATAATATTCTGCTTGAAGAAGAAAAATTCGTTTCATTATTCATACAGTCAGATTCACCTCATTTACAATTTGAAATTTCTTCTTCAATTTTGTGTTCTGTTAACTAACTGTTTCGTATTACTACACATTAATCAATTTGACTAATCTTCTCACATCAAGCTCTTCATTTAAACAGCCGAAATATGAAGATTCAAATCAATACTTAATGTCATAATCATTATGAATGAACTAACACACTAATGAAACCTTCCAAAATTCAAGTTTTTTCATCATTTTTTTGCTTTTAAGTAAAATGACGCTTTGATGTCATTTTATGATCGTTATCTTCGTAATGAAAGGCGATCGACAAACATAACTCACTTTTTCATGATTCACTATATCTTCAAAGTGATTTCTGAAATTCTTCGATAAGGAATTAAATAAGAGCCCAATTATCTTTTTTCCAGTTCATTGCATCCACGCACAGTAGGGGAACTAACATCAGATTCGTGTTACTCTTCGTGTTCTTATCTTCGGGAAAAATTTTCATGTTTTGTTGATTTTCCCTTATAATTTCAATTCTTTTTTTTTTGAGAATAACATCTTACCTACTGACATTGCTGTTCTGAGTTTTCTTATTATTTCAGTTCTTTCATGATACACTATAGATACCAACTTTTATTTTAATGAAGAACAATGTTTATCTTTTGTGTTTTAACTTAACGAAGATAAAGATCAATCAGTAATATTGAAGATGATTCATGAAGCATGAAATGAAATGATTGGTACTGTTTGAAATATTGAAAATAATAGAGCGCTTTCATTCGAAAATTCAATTCAAAAGAATATCAATTGAACTCGCCATATGGCCACGTACAATGTGGTGCTTTTATCATCCTTTAGTGGATGATGTTGGGGAATATTTCATCGATACCACTCGATGGAAACACAAGACACTGTTTCGTTCTACAATCAACTCATAAGCTGACTCACGTCCATCGTCAGGAAGACAACAACTCATTATAAAGCATGAGAAGGTTTCATACTGATTATAGACTGAAGACGTTGGGTTTCTTTACGATAGATGTAGTACAACTGATGAGTTCTTCGTGGAATGAAACAGTCTATACTTGCTTCAATTAAAGCATTGATCTCAATGTTTGAAAACATTTTACTATGAAACATGATTCAGGCAACACATCGTACATGCTCGTATAGCCAACTGAACTATGACATTATTGATTCATTTCAATTTTTCAGATAGCTCTGATAATTTATATACATACCTTAATCAACAAATTATTTATGAAAAGTGGAATAATAAAAAAAAACAAACTCCTACCAGCGTACAACTGAAATTAGCTCCATTTAAAAATCTGGAATTTCTTTTGAATCAATTGATTATTAGAATTTAATTTGAGTTACGTCTTTGTTCTCTTTCAATTTTTCTGCGTGAGTATTCCATATTCATATTCAATACACTCGTACATACTTTAATCAAAGAATTATTTGTGAGAACTGTAACAATAATAAAAAACCCTCTCAACATTTCAAAACTAAAATTAACGTGATATAAAAATTTGAAATGGTCTATGAATCAATCGATTATTAAAATTTAATTTGAGGTATTTAACTCTTTTTAGCTCTTCTATTTTTTTTCTGCGTCATTATTCCAAATTATTCTGCTTTTCCGATCTTTTCTTTTCCCAAATTTTATATCAATTCTTCAAACTGTCATCAACTCGTCATCCCTATTTCGACTGTATTTAATTATTCTTCCTCTAGTTTAATTATATCTACAATGCGGTATTTATGTTTAAAATTTGATACAATAAATTATAATACATGAAATATGACTTTGTCGAAACATTCATTTCAGTAGCTTGGAATTATCACTTTGGAAAAAATTGAAAATTGTTTATTTGTATTGATAGTACATGAATATTCGAAGAATTTCGATACTGAATTATGAGAATTATTCTACAAATTTATACTGTGTTTGTCATTTTACAAATTTCTATATTCTTATAAAATTTGCATGAAAGTTTCATCACGTATTTCGTATATACATATATATATATATATATATATATATATATATATATATATATATATATATATATATATATATATATATATATATATATATATATATATTGAAATTGATTTATTGCCTGTTTAAGATATTTTATTTTGAAAGTTTTTAAAAAAAGTCTGTTATTGCTGAAAACTTTCAAAATATATACATATATATATATATATATATATATATATATATATATATATATATATATATATATAAACATGACCTCCCGAACATCAAAAGATGACGGTTAAAATAAAATCTGCCAATATTCAAAGAAAAACTATAAAAATACGTCTTCTTCAAATCAATTCACTTATTGTAGTTGACGGTTGAATTTTTATATGCAATAATTATCTGTTGATTTATTGGAGATAAAAAGTGGACTGGTGACAAGTATAACATCCGTTACGATCAATTCTTTCATACAATCAAGGTGTACGAGGATGTGCAGAACCGGTCCTATTGCAAATTCTGTTAGCCTTCTAGTACCTGTTGAATATTTTACATCATAACCTCATTCGAAACAATATGTATTTAGAAATATAACTCATATCAACAACAGCTGATATGAGTTACGTTTTTTTTTCAGTACATTTCAGTACATTTACTAGAGTTTCAACGTATTTTTTGAAAAGGTTATTTTTTGAAAAGAACAAGTTGAAACTTCGATTCGACGACATTCAATTCAACTATCTCATATACTGTCCCATATTTCGGATATTCGTGCTGGTAAAGTGAATAAATTTCGATTCAAGAATCATAATTTATAACCAGTCACAATGAAAACTATAAAACGTTGTTGACTTATCCGGGATTGGAACAAAGATCTCTTATTCAGTCATGCTTTCCCATCTCATTGCTACTGACACGCTAATTCCCAAATAAAATTGATTGAATATTGATCTTTCAGTGGAACTTATGATTCAGTTTAAATTGAATGAAAACGCTTTTCTCACATAATTATATAAATTGCTTGTAATATGTTTCGGGAAGTTACCCCATTTCTAATTCGCACCAACGGCATCAACCAATGATAAAATAATCAACTTACCTTCAGCATGTCACCATTATCACTTATAACTTCCTCCATTTCTCAATTGTTCCTCTGTTTGAAATTCTTCGTTTTTGAAAAATTTATTACATTCTTCTTTTGAATGCTTGCCTATTTTCTTCGTTTTGAAAACCAAGTTCTCATAGATAGCAAGTTGAAATGTAAAATAAAATGTTAATTTTGAGAGTAGATGTTTTTTAATATTGAAAATGCGCCGACACTCCTACAAAATAAACAATTTGTGACACTTAACAG